TGTGTAGACCAGGCTGGCCTCCAACTTACAGAGATCCTCCTGCCTCAGCCTCTGGAGTGCTGGGATTAAAGGTATGAACTTTAAAGGTATGCCTGCCTTGGACTCTTTTCAGCAGAAATTTTTAAACTTTTGGTTCTGGAGCATTTAATTCCTGAAAAGCCTCTGAGATTAATGAGGTCATTAGCGTTGGTTGTTTTTACTGCAGTCCAAAGGAATCTGCTCTGACTTTTGGGAGAGGAGCTATACAGAAGCACCCACAAGAAAGGTTGCGTGTGCTCCAGGGAGGCTTTCTTCTATGGGTGGTGTAGAATAGCCTTACTCCACTTGAATGCCTTCTTTCCGCCTCTAATGTGAGCCATGTGCCTTAAGATGTCAGGATTCAAACTACTTAAAAAGATTCTGTAAATACTGGGAGTTACATTTTAGTAATTGCAATCACCCCAGATTTGGTTTTCTTAAGTACTCCTCCTCCACTTTTTTTCTTTTAGTTTTTTGTGAGACAGGGTTTCTCTGTGTAGCCCTGGCTGTCCTGGAACTCACTCTGTAGACCAGACTGGCCTTGAACTCACAAAGATCTGCCTGCCTCTGCCTCCTCAGTTCTGTGATTAAAGGCGTGCACCACCAACTGCCCCAGATTTGGTTTTCTTGAAGGTGTTTAAAGTGCATTGTGTATATATGCTTCTCTTTGTTAATCTTGCACCTTGGACATGGACTTGTTTTCTTATATTTTCCAGCATCATGTGGTAAACTCAAAATGGGACCTTTAAAAGTTTGCTTTCTAAATTATACTTTATCAATTTGATATTATTTATTCTCATTCCATTTTTTTTTAAATAAAGTTGAGATAAATTCTCATCTCATGCAGACCATGCTAGCCTCAAACTTGAAAGAGGATGAACTCTTGATTCTCTTCTTCTTACCACTTCCCTACCATGCCCAGCTTAATTTACTTATTTTTACAAAAGATTTACTTATTATGTGTATGTATGTGTGAGTTTTTGCACCATGTGAATATAAGTGCCTATGGGAGTCAGAAGTCATCAGATTCCTTGGAAGTGGAGTTACAGGTGGTTTTGAGTTGCCATGTGGGTGCTGGGAACTGAACCCAGGTCCTCTCTAAGAGGAGTAAGTATTCTTAACCTCTGAATTATCTCTCCAGTTCCTTATTCATTTTTTGATGCTGTGGATTGAGCTGAGGGCATGGTAAGCACATGGTCTACCACTGAGCTACACCCCCATCCCTATTTACTCTGCTTTAGAAATGCCTCTAAGTGCAGAAATTCACTGAAATTCATTTTAGAGCTGGGATGTCGGGCTAGAAGATGGAGGTGAATGTCTGAGTTCTGAAAGGATGTTATCATCTGGCTGATGTTTTAGCTTAGAGGGAAAAACTGCTGTCATCCAGAACTCACAACATGAGTTTGATCTTGGATCCCATGGTAGAAGGAGAGAACCTATTCCTGAAAGCTGTCCTATGACCTCTACTGTAGCATACCCCCCACTCCAATAGTAATAGGCAAAATAAATTTATGAAAGCAAGTCTCAAATGTTTTTTTTTTTTCAAAGACAGGGTTTCTCTGTGTAGTTTTGGAGCCTGTCCTGGAACTCACTGTGTAGACCAGGTTGGCCTGGAACTCACGGAGATCGCCTGCCTCTGCCTCCCGAGTGCACCACACCACCCAACTGCAAGCCTCAAATGTTAAAGCCTGGTTTCTATGTTGTTAGCTTTACTGTCATTGTGACAAAATCTCTGATGTAAACAACCTACAGGAGGAATTGTTTATTTCAGTTCATTTCAAACCATCCTAACAGGGAAGGCCTGGTTGAACAGAGCAGCTCACATCATGGTGGCCAGGAAGGAGAAAGAGGAGAATGGGGCACTGTCTTTTTTCTCCTTTATTCTATCCATATGGGAACAGTGTGGCCTATGCTCAATAGGGGCCTTCTTCCCGTGGTCAGTCAGTCCTCTGTAAGACACTAGACATACCTAGAGGTGTGTTCTTCGGGTGCTTCTCCACCCAGTCAAGCTGATGGATCACAACTGGTATTTATCAAAACCAGGTATTCTCTCGGGTTTAGATGCCAGAATTCATTGTACTGGTTTCCTGTGGAAAGCCCTTCTCAGAATTTACTAGGAATTGCACTCAGAAATAAATTTGCTTTCTCTAATTTGTATTTATTTACTTATTTATTTGGTCTTTCCAATACAAGGTTTCTCTCTGTGTAGCCTTGGCTGTCCTGGAATTTGCTCTGTAGACCAGGCTG